GAGTTTGTGACATTAGAGTTGTGCTTAATTGAGTTCTCATCTTGTTAGAGAGAACAATCATTTGTTATATTATGCTTAATTGTGAGATCACTTTGTAATACACTTGTACACCGAGTGAGGAGTGTGTGGTGAGAGTCGGGGATCGTCCCAAGAGGAGTGGCGTCGGTTGACGTGCCTAGGGAGAGGTTGTAACCGAGCACTTGAGGGAGACACGGCTAGATCCAACACTTAGTGGGTGTAGAGTGTGATTGCAAGAGTGTGAGTTGTAGAGTTTTCGGTTAGCTAGAAAACCGAGTGTGTAGAAGAAGTTCCGGCTTCCAAACCAGATTGTGTTAGTGGATTTCTCCCCGGGAGTGGGGAGCGGAGACGTAGGACGGAAGGTCCGAACTCCGTGATCATATTGCTTGTTTGAGTGTGCTTTGGCGTTCATTCATATTTATGTTCATATCTTATATCGCCATTGTCATTAGCTCATTATCTATATCATCCACTATCTTGTTTAGATTGTTTACGTATATTGCATATTCTTGCACATAACTCTTTGTATATCTATCTTGCAAGAATATAGTTGTTAATTAATTTTAATTGGCATTTAATCGGATTAGATTAGCATAAGACCCTAATCACCCCCCCTCTAGGGTCTAACATTTGTTTGTTGATACGGTGCATTAGATTATTGAGGAGTGCTTTGACCTACAGTTTAAAGTCCTGTGAACCCATTGGTATGAGCAAGAAGACCGAGGTGGAGTTTGACACTTCTATCCATCATTCGAGGGGTCTTCTGAGGGGTGTTCATTTAGGCATTCGGGGGCCTTCCAAGAGAGCATCATTGGGAGGTAATATGTATGTGGTTTTCGCAGTTGGGGATTGTTCTAGGCATTGGTGGGTTGCAACCAAGTCCCGTTGGTGTGAAGTCCTAGAAGCCCGCAACAGATAAAGGAAGTGTGTTGATAGAAAGGTAACCCGACGTTCTGATTATAGTAGGAGTTCTTTCTTACGTTTGTGTCGAGCTCACGATAATTGGAGACACTTTATTAGTGTGGAAACTTTAAGGCGACGTGATGAGATGACAGATTTTGGGAGCTGTTCCTTTCTGGAGGAGGATCAGCGTTTGATATCGAGCATTGGCGTTGGTGTACGGGCTACGACATGTTTGGGCCATCTTATGTATAGGTTGCCGACTGCTGCATGTAGAGATTTTGGGTCTGGTGAAGCTGCTTCAGATTTTGGGTTGCGTCAGATGTTTGGCTACTCAGCACTTGGTCACATCGTGGATGTGAGATTTGATCCGATAGCACATTTGGGAGTCAGAGGCGTGTTTGATTATCATGTATTGGCTTCTGACTTTGTTCTGAGTAGGTATGTCACGTTTGACTCTCGGCAGGTGGAGAGTGGTGATCAGATCTTTGAGACATCGCAGCAGGTAGAGAGTGATGCTACTCCACGTTAGGTGGAGACTCCAGATCATACTGTATCATTTGAGATTCCAGCCGATGTGACACAGATTTGGAATTATGTTGATATAGATGCAGATGATAGGTTGATCGATTCAAGTACAGCTGATAGATGGAGTCTGGATATGGCCATTGGTTCATCACAGGTGGAGATGTTTGTGTTGGCCTTCTTATTTTGATGATGATTTACAAACAATTTACATCTAATATTGTTTGTCTAGTGTTTGTGTTTTATATTTATTCTAGGCAAACAATATGTTAGAGGATGGATGGAATAGCGCTTCAACGACGATATCAAATGGAGGTTGGCGGAATTGTGGAGTGAAGCATCGTACAATTCAAGTTCAAGATTCAAGTTTAGCTTCATCCGCAATGTGTACCAAGTTGAGCTACAATGAAGATCAAGATTATTGCTTGGGTAACTTTAGTTTAGGTGTTATATTATGTGTGTTTAATACTCTAAGCTCAATCATCTACACACACGCATTTATTGGTTTCTTTGTATATATATATAGTTATATATATATACACAAGTTTTGGTTTGGTTCATATACACGTTTAGAAGCTTCCCTAAAAATTTTATAATTTTTGGAGTTAATTTACTGTGTCAAATTGATTTTAGAAAATCGGGTGTTTCAGCAGTTTTTAGAATCTGAAATATCTGTATTCAAATATTTATTTCTCACAAATGAGAAGTGATATTTCAGAAATTATTTTTGTAAAATGTTTATTTACATGTTTAGAAACATCCCTCAAAATTTCATAATGTTTAGAGTTGATTTACTATTTTTAACTGATTTTACAAATCCAGATACGCATAATTTTCAGCATCTGCCAAAAACTGTATATGTCATAAGTCGACTCTAAGTCGACTTATCAGAGAGCCGTTGCACAGTAACGGCTAGTTTTCTGTTTTGTTTGTTTTTGGGTTTTTGGTCATTTCCTTGGGGTTTTGGCTGATGTCTTGGGTTGTTATAAATACCTCATTGCATTTACCTCTCCCTCTCTAACAAGAGAATGGTTTAAAAGATTTTAACAAGGGTTTAAACTTGTTTAGTGTTTGTTTAAGTTTGTTTTAAGAAGCTTTTAAGCATTTGAGTGTTTCGGTTTTGTGATTCAATTCTACAAGAGCTTGAGGAGATCATCTATGGTGTTTGGGCATTCAACTATTCTCCCTCCAACTCTTGATATATTGAGAAGTTTTCTAAACTCTATTTTATATATTTGATTATCATTGTTATTTAGCAAGAACTACATTAACTTTAGTTTTGATTTATATCTCTTTGTTCACACACAACCTTTTGAGCTTATTGTATTTACATTCATAGTATAATTTGGGGTTGTGGGTTTGTGACTAAGAGTTGTGCTTAATTGAGTTCTCACCTTGTTTAGAGAACAATCATTTGTTATATTTGTGCTTATTGTGAAAATTCACTTTGTAATACACTTGTACACCGAGAGGAGTGTGTGGTGAGAGTCGGGGATCGTCCCAAGAGGAGTGGCGTCGGTTGACGAACCTAGGGAAAGGTTGTAACCGAGCACTTGAGGGAGAGGGTGTAGAGTGTGATTGCATAGTGTTTGTTGTGTGAGAGTTTTCGGTGAACTTGTAAACCGAGTGTGTAGAAGAAGTTCCGGCTTCCAAACCGGATTGTGTTAGTGGATTTCTCCCCGGGAGTGGGGAGCGGAGACGTAGGACGGAAGGTCCGAACTCCGTGATCATATTGCTTGTTTGAGTGTGCTTTGGCGTTCATTCATATTTATGTTCATATCTTATATCGCCATTGTGCATTGCTCATTTCTATATCATCCACTATCTTGTTTAGATTGTTTACCCTTGTGTTGTTTATATATCCTTGCATATATAGGATATATCTCATTGTATATTGCTTATCCTAGCTCATATATATTGTTGCATTTCATACTTGCTATGATAACTTATTTATTAATTTTAATTGGCATTTAATTGGATTAGATTAGCATAAGACACTAATCACCCCCCTCTAGGGTCTAACAGTTTGGATTGTTTCAGTTTGGGACCATTGGAGGTGCTATCAGCCGTAGACTTGATCGTGATGTTGGAGAAGGGTTGCGAACTCTTCTAGTGGATTGAGGCCTTTGGAGGCTATTTGGATGAACTACGGGCGGGTTGATCCCTTGGGAGAGGGGGTACATAGGCAACCACATTGGTGCAACCAAATTTGGTGAGATGACGTATTGGTGCTCATGTTGGTGTCGGCTCAGTTTTGGGAAAACTTCGCCGAGATGGAGAATTGTTGAATAGCGGATTCCTAATCTATTTTGGTAACATGAGGTTATTAGGATTCCTAATCTATTTTGGTAATATGTTATTAGGATTCCTAATTTGTTTTGGCTTTTGGTTTAGAATTCCTAGTATGTTTATGATTTTAGGATTTTTATATATATGGAACAATTGGAAGAGAGGTTTAGAATTCCTAGTATGTTTATGATTTTAGGATTTTTATATATATGGAACAATTGGAAGAGAGAATTGTGAAGCAAATTGGGGATATTTGGAACACAGAAAAAAGATATTTTCTGAGCTATTTGTTTAGGGTTTTGTTTGGAGAGATTAAGAGCTTGTTGGTGAGATTAGTTTGTTCCTTCTAGTGATTTGTAGTCTCAGTTTGTACTCTTTCTCTATTAGTGAAAACCCCATCCCCTTCTTGTCCTGTGGACGTAGGCAACTTGCCGAACCACGTAAAACTATTATGTTTGGATTTGTGCCGTTGTTTTGATTTGTTTGGCCTTTATCTCGACGTTTGTTTGATTTGGTTCTCGAAGCACGCCCGTTTGGTTGTCCCGCTTACGCGCCGCGCATAACAAGATACACAATACGCCTCAAATAAGTAGCATTTAATTGCATTAAGCTCCATAAATAATATCATATACACATCATATCCATAATTAACATTATGTACACATCTTATCCAATTTCCTTGCCTACACAGTATACAACCAAGACAATAAAGGGTTACTGTCAATAAAATTACACAAAAACTTCATATGCACACATACCAAAAAGTACACATCATTTTCTTTAAAAATGGCTACGAGACTCTCCCGTTAAATAGAATCATGTCTACGAGACTAGTTCTACATTTCTCTTTGATTGTAGTCTAACTTCCAACTCTTTACTACAATAAAAAACGCATAATCCAACATTAGTAGAATATTTCCTTTCGTTGTATTTTATAAATAAAAAAATGCATTGCATGAAAATCTTTTATAGTGTTTCTATAAGTCTCTATAAATATTTTATACAAAATGCATTGCATACATCTGACTTCCTGCAGTCCTGTATCTGCAAGAGAAGAGCTCATATCTAAAATCGACGCTTTTGACTTTGTTTGCTATCCTAGGCTTAATGTTTTATAGCCAAATGCACACCACATAAATTCATCAACAAGTATAAACTCAATAGCTTATAATAAAACCAAATCATTTGCTATTCTATACTTGCTTTGATACTAAATACTTGCAGAACTTTTGAGGCTTATTTATAACAAAATCAATTTTTGTCCGCTATTAAAAAAAAGATACAACATCCCCCTTCTAATTAGTATATTACTCAAATGAGATGTTACATGAACCACGAACAAATTCAAAATAATTAACAAAGCAATTAAGGAAAAAAAAAGAATATCCACTCAAGATTGATGATTGCTAGCTGTTCAAAGAAATTTTCCATCTGCCACCAATCTACAATAATTCCAATTTACAATCAGCTCCAAGAATAATACATGAAGTATCAGCTGTAACAATAAATCTATTCCGCTAGCTTTTAACATGAGGTCAGTTTTAACAATAAATCTATACATGAAGTGTCAGCTTTAACAATCATATCGAAAAATCATACCATTTTTAACACGAGGTCAATTCAAAGTAAGCGACCCTCATACCTAAGCAGATCCACACCAATGTAAAAATTATATCAAAGAATTATGAGATACAATCTGTAAAATAACGAGAATTCTACTTACTAGAGAAGACTTTTAGACATTGGAAGAACAATAGAGCCATCATGGAAAGCGAGTTTTGGATGATTGAGCCAAACTTTTCGAAATTTTAGCTCCTTAGGTTATGGGAAGAATATCTACGATGAGGGATTTTTGGACATCGACAACAATTTCAGGCTTATTTTTGGGATCGAGCTTAATGAAGATCAAGTCGAAGTGGATCTAGAGGAGCTGAGAAAGGAGAACGAGCCTCCTGGAGAATTTGAAGCTCTTAGAGCAGTTTTTGAGGATTTTGGTGACTAAGAGTAGTATTGGAGAATGGAAAAAAAAAAAAAATTCATTGATACCATATAGATGTAGGCTATATATTTACCAGGTTGGGTTTAAAGATAAAGTGTGAAAGTAATTTGGGTTTATCGATACAGATAAAAGCTTGTGGGTTATAAATAAACACGGGTAAAACTTTGGATGTAAAAGCTAAAACCCCTTATTTCAATACGCAAGGCACACAACTTGTGTTTAAGTTATCCGCAAGGCACACAACTTGTGTTTATAAGTTGCTAACTATACAAATATCTCGCAGTTAAGCTCGTGTGAATGAAGTCAAGCAAAGGCTTTTTTCCCCCTTTTTTTAAGGTATGGCTTAGGTAAGCTCTAGCCAACCTTAAGCAAAGCAAGGACTTTCTCACTAAACTAAGCTTGGGTCAGGGCAAAGGGAGGACAAGGAAACGCTCGCGGCACGAAGGCGCCAAAGAGAAATCCAACAAGTCGACATGACATGTCCCTTTGTCCCACACATATATATCTTAATTATCATCCCACGAAAAGGCGGGACACAAGAACTTTGTTAACCATGTAACCCGGACTTTCCATTTGGGTCAGCTAGACCGATTCCACGTCAGCACACAACTTAGAGGGCCAGGTAATCAACTCATCTAAAAGTGTGGGATATCTGCATCTAGTCTTACAAACAAGGTCTTGGCTGTAGATAATCGATGGGTGGTTGTAGATCATCGATAGTCTGATTTTAAGTTTTAGGAAATCTATGATTGTGCAATGTGTACCATTGATAGTTCAAGAGACCACCAATGGCTCCCTATAGATCATCGATGGTTCAAAATGAACTTTCTTGAATTTCTTCGATTGTTCACTGTAGACCATCAACAAGCCTTGACCATCGATGGTTCACTATAGACCACTTATGGCACCAATGTTGAAATCAATATAAATACTAATTTTCATGCCGTTTGACATCGTAGCCTTCATATACTTATTTGCACTTGTATGTATAATCTCAAACAAATATTAGTACCAATGAGAGTTTGTTATTACTCAAACAAAAGCTATTGTATGGACTATATCCTAACAATTTCCCCCTTCTGATAATAACAAATTTAAAACTTGAAATACTACAAAATTTGCACATTTTATTTATAGATACAACAAAAATAAGCGAAAAATATATTTTTATGTAAAAAGAAAATATATGCAATACCCCCCTACATTTATGCATACATAAAAAGTTTAAACATGTGCAGATATTGTACCAACTCCCTCTTAAACAATGTATCAAGTGTTTCAAAAAAAAAAAAAAAATCAAATCAAGAATGTGAAACCACTTGAAAAAAATACACTTAGCTGAAATACTCCACTCATGCAAAGAAAATATTTAAAATTTTCAAATTTCACACAAAATCTTCTCTTCCTTATGTTATTATCAAAAGATGAAAGACACACAAATGTTTATACTTTATACTTGAGTAATCCAGATAAAAATCATTCAAAGATGTATAGAAGAGAAATACATACCAATTCACAAAAAAACATTTATAGTAAATATGGCACACAAGATTAAAACCCTATATGAAAATGAGAAAACAATATAAAAATTCAAACACAAAATGATGAAATGTTATTATAAAGTATATGAAATAAGTGGTAAAAAGAATTATACTAGTTTACTTGACAAATTTAGATATATCAAAGGGAATAATGCGTAAGAATAAGACTTAAATCATCTTAACCTTAGAAGCTAAATACCAAAATATCGCTTGTCATATCAACTACACAGGATTTTTAAGATGAAAAGCGATGGTGCTTGGCACGCGATGTACACCACCTATAAATATATTAACATTAAGTACATGATGGCTACCCTTTGAGATATGCACAATTGGTATCTATGAGTATGAGTTTTTGTCTATATTTTAACAAATACACTCAATTTTATTATAGATTTTAGAGTGCGGATGTCTGGTCATCTTTTCACAAATACACTCTTTTACTTTGATATCTTTATCACAAATGTACTTTTGTACATGTAAATGTATATTTGTGCTAAAAATCAAATCAAATAATAAGCTAAAAAAACTCTCAATATATTCCAAAATATCAAATAAACCAATTATAAAAACTCTTTACCATTACCTTATAGTACAAAATTTGATAAGTATAAAAGTAGTTGTGTAAAAATATAACATGAAATATCTTGTGAATTAATGTGTTAAGGAACAAAACTTCTATTTTTTTTGTTCGTGTATGTTGTATGTGTGTATATATAAGCCAGATGTGATCATATACACACATATACACATATAATGTGTGTGTATAAACCATATGTGAATTGTTTGAAAACTATATGTGAATCTGTGTAATATAATTCAATCCTATATACTAAAAGATAATATCATCAAAGTCAATCTAATAAAAGCATATACATAGGCAAGTCCAAAGTTTTTTCCAAAGAAAATAAAAGGAAAGAAAAAAGAAATTTTTGTTTTTTGGATATATATAAATAAATGGAAAAGAAAAAATTAAAAAAATAAAAAAGAAAGAAAAATTAAGAAAATTCAAGAAAAGTCAAGAAAATTCTAAGAAAATAAAGAAACTTTTATGTACATACGATAGGTAAGGTCAACATGCAAGATATTAAGAGATAGAATGCCCAAGTCTTGTCTCAATGTCTCAAACTAATAAAGAGATCTTCAGATAAAGATTTTGTAAACATATCTTCAAGTTTTTGATTAGTGAGGACAAACTTAATATGAATATTCTTCTTAGCAATGTGGTCTCTAACAAAGTGATGTTAAACATCTTTGTGTTCTGTGCGTGAATGGTAGGCTGTGTTATTACTCAAATCAATAACAATTTTTTTACTACATCTAAGAGGATTTTTCTTAAAGGTGATGTCATAATCCTGAAGAGTCAAAGACATCTAAAAGGCATATGAGCAACAACTACCTAATATAATACACTCAACCTTAGTAGTAAGCAAAGCTATATAGTTTTATTTCTACTAGACCAAGAAATTACAGAATGTCCTAAAAAGTGCATTGTTCCACTAGTGCTCTTCCTATTAATATAAAATCTAGTATAGTCACTATCATAATATCAAATTACATTAAAAGAATTACCCATGGGATACCATAAACCAAAATTTTATGTTCCAATCATATATTGAAAATTTTATTTTACATCTTGTAAATGTGTTCTAATTAAATATTGGAAAATATATTTTACATCTTTCAAATGTAATTCTTTAGTATTAGCTTGAAACTTTGCACACAAACACATAAAAAAAATATAATACTAGAAGGAGAAATAATAAAATATAAGCGACTACCAATCATTCCTCTGTATTACTTTTCATCAATTGATACTCCCAGGTCATCCCTTGTAAGCTCTGCTGAAGGACTCATCGAGGTTGAAGTGGATTTTAAACTATCCATACAGAAGCATTTAAAAAAAATTCACATACTTCTCTTATAATATAAACATTCTATTTTTTATTTGCTTCACCTAAATTCCTAAAGAATGCTTCAGCTCTTCCGTCATGCTCATCTCGAATTCATCCATTAACTTTTTAAACTTATGGAAAAGATCCTTATTAGTAGCTCTGAAAATAATATCATTAATATACACTTACATAATAAAAGATATCTTCACCAACAATTTGTCCCCAAACCCCTTCCAAAAAAGTATTATCTACAAACCCCTTTTTAAAATGATGTTTAAGCAAATAAGAACTTTGACGATCATATTAAGCTCAAGTTTCTTGTTTAAAACTATGCAAAGCTTTATCTGACTTATATATATTATTTAGAAAAGCTTGGTTAATAAAACATTAGTTGTTTCACATAGACTTCTTCGTTAGGTATCTATTTACAAAGGCACTTTTATACCCATTTAATAGAGCTTAAAGTCTTCACAACAAAAAAAGCAACTAAAATTCTAATGACTTCAAGTCTAGCATCGAAATTGATCTCCTCTATTTGAATGTAACCTTTGGCAATAAGTCTAGCCCAATTTCTCATGACATTACCCTTTCGTCCAATTTATTTTTAAAGACCATTTAGTGATAGGAATTTTAGTCCCCTCCTACTACAATCTTCACAACCCAAAAATCAACACGCAATCAACAAGATAAAAATAACCACAAATCAAGAAGAAGAACATCGAAATATAATATGGTTCGGTCAGCCAACTTTGACCTACATCTATGGGGTGACGATATGAGAAATGCACTATGTGTTAGGGAGGATTACAAGACGAATCACTTAACTCTCGCCTCTCAATCTCTTAATATCACATATATAATCAACTCTCATATTCTCTCCAAAATCCTCTGCTTACAGTCTATTGTAATCCTTTGCACGGATAAAGATCACAAAACCCTCGCCAATAATCTTTTGCATGAAAAATGACCACTTAACCCTCTCCTCTCACATACTGTTCTTTATGTTAGGTCTCATGTTTATGATCCTACTATCTAATCTAGTTTTGATGATTAACAAATAACTCCTAACAACGTTTGTCGAGTGTTTATATTTGTTTGTTAGGAATCCTACCAATGATTCTCGGTTGGAGGTTGGATGGACTTGTGTCTACACGATCATATTCATTGGAGGATGGAAGGAATATCGGAATGAAGCTTTGCATTTTAAGTCAAGTATAAGTTCAAGCTTCATCCTCAACCAAGATGAGCATATTGAAGATCTATTGCTTAGGTATAGTGTTTTAGGTTTATACTTTGTGTGTTTATACTTAGAGCACAAAATTCATACACACACATTTGTTTTGATTTATCATTTATTTTTATTTATTACTGTTTTGGATTATAGACTTAACAACATGATTTTATATCTTTCCTCAAGTCTATAAATCTATTATAAAATATTTTAAAACTTGTTTGAAAGAAATTCGTCAAAATAAAGTTTTAACAAGTTCGTATAGTTTACCGATTTGAAAAATAATGTATTGTGGATTAATGAATAAATATAACTATTATATATCTTTTATAAAGTCTATTAATCTATTTAAAATAAGTTTCAAACTTATTTAGGATCACTTTTTCAA